CCCCCCCGGGAGTCCCCGGCGCAGAGGAGGAAGCAGCTCATCCCGCGGGTGCTCCGTGCCTCTGCCACCCAGCCCGGTGCCACATCAGCGCCGCGCCCCCCCCCCCACGGCGCGCACCCATGGCCAGGAAAACCCCTCCTCTCCCTGCTCCGAGACAAGGGGCCTTTTGTGCGGGCAGAAAGGCCCCGCGGCTGCAGGAAACCTCCCTCCTTCCATGTGTGAAATGTGGTGTGGTTCGGAACCCACAGCACCCTCCTGCACGTGAGCTCGGCACAGCCCCACGGAGCGCATCCACACAGCGCTCCGGGCTGGAAGGACCCTCGCACCAGGGGATGGGGCAGCCCCAGGGTTCATTCTCTCTGCCGGGGGGTCCCACTGCTGCGGAAGGACCATTCCAGCAGCGGGGGGGGCCCATGGTCCAGCTCTCGATCTCGGGGTCACAGGCAGGAGCCAGTGCCAGGGCAGTGCTCACATATGTCTCCATGCACATGAGCTTGCAGGGGTGCCCTCGAGGTTGGCAGCATCTACCCCTGCACCCAGGCAGGTTGAGGGATGCTGTGCCTGGTCCAGATGCGCTGCCACCTGAAGTACCCTGGGCACATCTCAGAGCAGAAAAGCTGGATCCTCAGGACTTTCAGCCATTACAAAACACACCTCCCCATTTTACCGTCCCCAAACAACATGGCTCTTACCTGGAGGCTCTCAGCAGACAAGGCGGGATGAATATACAGGCTTTGTCTTCCCTGCACATGGGGAGGATGGGGTGGGAAATGCCTCTTCCCCCATCCAGCCGGGCATCCAGAGCAGATTTGCCCACACGTTAGAGCTTCTGGGAATTTGCACTCATTTCAGGATTCAGTAAAACCTTAATCTACAGCATAATCTCTGAGCATCACATCTGTGCCAGGGAGAGGAAAGATGATGGGGGAGGCTGCTGATAGAGGTTTTGTAAAGGCAAACCTGCTGTGGGATGCTGCCTGCTTTTGGCCTGATGGCTTGCTTGGGGGTTTGGAGGTGTTTGAGGAGGCCCACTGAAAAACAAGGAGCTGCACAGCACATGGGAGATCTCTCCCTTCGTTCCTGCTGCCTTCTCCCGGCCATGGAAAGCAAAGACATTGCCAGCAGCATAAACCACCCCTGTAATGCACTGTATGCTGTGAAGGAGCAGCTCCCTTGCCCTCAGCTGAGGCTCTGCAGCTTTCTAGGGGCTGGACCAGCCGCCCGACCCAGGAAACACAATGCTGTGGATTTGCATCCTGAACACCCGCACAGGCCCTCCAAGCCAGGCAGACACGGGAGCTTTTCAACATGGGGACACCAACACCCTTCTCCTCCCCCCAGACACACATTTACATCCAACCTGGGACAACTTGTTACCCTTGAAGTTCAACCTATGCCAGCATGGGACAAACAGACAGGATGTGCACAGACAAGTGCATTGCAAGGTTGGGCACAAGAAATCACATGCCTCGAACCCCTTTAAGCTGGATGGGGGGCAGAACTGGCCCAATTTCCCAGATCCTCCTCTTGACAAGGAATTGGGGTTAGGATAAGCCAAAGTGCTGCATGCTGCATGTCCTGCAGGGAAGGATGCTGCTGCTACCTGAAAAAGCAGCATCCCAGAGCCAGCGTCACACACCCAGCACATCCTGGTGCCCAGACTCATTGGAGCTGCATAGGGAGGTGCAGGGCATGGGGCAGCAAACAAAGCATCACCTAAAAACCCCAAGCACCATAAAGCAGTTGAAGAGGCCCAAGCCAGGCCAGGCCCACTGTGGCACTGCTCTCCCCCGCTACAAGAGCTGAATCCCCCCACCAACTGATGGCGAGGTTTCCTTTGCATCGGCAAGCGATGTCTCACATCCTCTCCGACCATAATGGGCTAAAAAACACAGTTCCCCTGTGGATTCAAGCCCGTTTCCTTCTATTCTTTAACAGGAAGCTCTGTGAGAGTCAGCCCAGGCAGGCAAATCGCTCCTCACCCTCTTGTCCCTCCCGGGATGGACAGAGCCTCAGCTGGGCTGCACAGCCACAGGCCACCGAGAAGATGCTGGCTCCGTCCGTCCATTCGTTCCTCTGGCTGTTCGGCTGTGTGCTGTTCCGAGGTGAGGCGCTCCTCAGGGGATGCATGGGTGGATTCGGGGTGCCCGGCTTCATGGGGGGCACCAAAGGGAAGCAGCGAGAGGTTTGAATGTGTAGTAGCTGCCATGGGAAAACTCAGCCTTTAGATTGAGGGGTGGCAGGGGTCAGGTTGATGGGAAAAGGGTGGCTGTAGCAGGTTTACAGGAGTTTTTTGGTGGCACTGGGATGAAATAACTTGTGCCCTGGATAACGAAAGGAGTGTTTCTGCTGACTTTTGTGATGCTGAGGCATTTTGTAGTAAGTGACTTTACCCTTATTTAACAAAAGTTAGAACATTTAAATGTACAAGATCTTGTTTTCTTCAAAAATCTCTTTTTCTTTTACCCATTTTAACTTTTCCTCTCATCAATATAAATACAGACCATGAGCAGGACTCACACAGAACATCCTTATTGTAATAATCCTGCTTCTTTGTGATAACTGTGCTTTAAATTCTCTTTCCCACGTGAGTTGTGGTGTGGGATGACGAAACCGGCTTCCTGCTCTGAAGGATGACAGGTTGTTTTTTCCTGCATCATCAGGCACCTCTTGCTTTGTTGACAGCTGTAGTAGCTGGGAGCTGAAACACATTCAAAGGAATAGAGGCTGCAACAGCATCATTGATCCTAATAGACAAGCACTTAACAAATAATATGTCTGCAATCCAAAGTTTTTATCATTAAACCATACAAGTTGGCTATGGATTACAGCTGCTGGCTGGTAATAATGGGAGTTTTAAAAGGCAGAGAATGTAGAAACCAATCCAGTTGGTTTCAGTCAGTAGCTGTGTAATTCTGAGGAGTAACTGCACATGGATTGGAAAATTCCTTCCTTCATCAGAGGGCAATACTGCTGGATTCAGCAGAGGAGTGAACTGTGCCTGGTATCAGCCAAAGGGCTTTGAGGCCCCTTGGCCATATTGTGACACTCCTTAATGCCTACCCTGGATGCTATTTGGGATGGTTGAATGCTAACTGGGATGGTTGGTGTGGGGCAGGGATGCCCAGAGGTGGTCAGGCACCTTCTCTGCATCAGGCTGAGATCCAGCGCCCTGCCCAGTGCAGGACCCTGCAGCACCAGGTGGAAGGGATGCCACCCTCCATCCTGAGGGCACCACTTTGTCCTCTGCATTCTGCTTAAACTCCTGGGCCAGAGGCTGTTCTCACCAGGTGTGTGCTTGGCAGCCAGTGCTGGACCCCAGCAGCATCCTACAGATGATAACAACACAGTCCTGGTGCTCACTGAGCATCCATTGATGCTGCAGTTGCACCTCTCTGGCTTCAATCACAACTATCCTTCCCCCCATCACATGTGCTGTCTCACTTGGGTTTTTGCATTGATCCAACAGTTCTGCAATGGCTTTTTTAATTGTATTTGTAGCTTTATACCAAAGGGACTACG